GGGGCGGCTTCGTGCTCACGAGGAGTTGCCTGAAGCGCGGAGGACTGACGGGAGGCTAAGCAGGGAGAGCTCTGCGCGCGCGCACGGAGCTGCCCGTGTCCGAGAGCAACTGCGCTGGTGCCAGATACGCAAGAAAAGCTTTCAGTACAAAGAGCCCCTGGGGAATATCAGCATCTGTGCTGTGCTGAGCGAGGAGAGCTGGAGGTGTCAACGGTCTTGAGCAGGGAGGTTGGACTAGATGATCTCCAGAGGTCCCTTCCAACCTAAACGATTCTGTGATTCTGTGATTCTGTGTCTCCCCACGGGCAGGAAGCAGAAGCAGGGCAGGGAAGGCAGAAGATATATGGTAGCTGCTTGGAAGGTCCAGACAGGAGGTGAACATGTCCCCGGGAGCGAAGGGTCTTCAGAACAGCCGTGATGGAGAGCCTGGGCTCGGGGGTCATGGAGAGATGGAGGGCCAGAGGACGGCTGCTCTCCGCCAAGCCACCGAAAGGGACAGCAGTGATGTTAGGAAAGAGCTGTCTCCATTCGGAAAACACGGTAGCAGAGCCACAGGCGTGCACAGGGGATGTCTGAGAAGGTACTGCTGGTGGCAGGAGGAAGAGAAAGAGGAGGAGTGGCAGTTTGGAGGGGCGTGTGCAACCCACAGAGCTAGGCACTGTCTGCCATGCCTGGGAGCAGGACTGTCCCATTGCCATGTGTGACAGGGGGATCCCTCCATCCCTGGAGGACCTCCAGGCCCTCCCCAAGCTGGACTTGAGCCACGGGTGGCCTCAGGAGAGGGAGACGGTGTGAAATGCCACGTCGCAGCCCGAGAGCGACGGCGTGCCGGTCCCCAGCATTGGGGGAGGCGTCTGGACTAGTTCTGACCACGTAACTTGTACGAACGTGAGCGTTTCGCTGCCAGAGCCGAAGGTAAGGCTGTCACTGTATAGAGGTAGCAGCGTAGAGGGAGACGGTGTGAAATGCCACGTCGCAGCCCGAGAGCGACGGCGTGCCGGTCCCCAGCATTGGGGGAGGCGCCTGGACTAGTTCTGACCGCGTAACTTGTACGAACGTGAGCGTTTCGCTGCCAGAGCCGAAGGTAAGGCTGTCACTGTATAGAGGTAGCAGCGTACGCCCTGCCCGCCACTGAAGTCCTCTGTGCTCACGCACGTACATGCTCTAACCGGCTTTGCCCTCTCCTAGCAGAGCCTGTCCGATCAGCGTGTCAGCGGGGACAGTGCGGCGCGGCCGTGAGCCCTGGGTCACTATGATGGTGCTTTTTCTCGTGGTAAGTACTGACAGGCAAGATGCTCCTGCGGTGCACGGAGGCAGGGGTTGCTGTTAGCAGCAGCCATCTGAAAGTTTCTAGTCTACTGGGAAGGCATGACCCAACGGTAACTGAGGCTTTGAAAACCTGGAGGCAAAGGAGGTCCTACACTTCCCTGACAGGTTTTCTTTTCGGCCTGTCGCCTGCTCGCAGCCCCGTTCTGTGCATGACACTGTCTTCGGTAGCGAGCCGTACCCTGGGGGCGTGATGCATGCCCACGATGCCCCTTGGGTCACATCCTCTCTTCTGTTACTTTTACATTTGTGTGTTTTTCCAGTGGTTTTGGTGCTGCTTTTCCTGACTGGCAATGATGAAAGGGAACCAGGCCAGCCTCCGGGCTCAGGGAAACATATCTGGTACCTGAAACACTGAATAATTCATCCTGAGGCTGCTGCCGTCAGGTAGGCGGGTTGTTACTGTTATCCTCATCTTGCAGACCGCAGAACCTGAGCTGAGACATGATGGCTAAGTGGGGCAGAGGCAGACCTGCAGGGCAGGGGCTCGCGCGAGCGGGCTGGGAGCGTGGGTTGAGGTCCAGAAGCCGAGGCTGATTTCCTCTGCCATGTGCAGGAAGGGGCTGGACGCAGTCCTCGGGTTTGGGAACTACGTGGGCTCCCGGAGGCAGCCACCCCTGCCGGGAGCACCGCGCCGTAGAGCAGCGTGTGGTTTTTAGTGGGACCTAGCGCTCCGATCCTGCGCTCTAGCTGTGCTCGATTTAGCGCTGGAAGGGACGTGATATAAAGCCATCACATCCTTAAGCGAAATGGCTGCTTAAGGCGTCCTGTGACGCCTGCTTTTCCGCTGTACTCGTTTCATTAACCCTTCTTGTCCCGTGGCTGCGGTTGCCCACCGTGTGCCATAGCCTGGGGCTGGCTCTGGTCCCTGTCCAGCACGGGAGGCTCCGTTGCGGCCCACCTGGTGAAGACACTAGTGCAATAACGGGCTCAGAGAAGATTCTCCTCTAAGATTTCCATAAAGGCAGGACCGTAATGTTTTTCCCCTGCAAAATCTAAAGCTGATCTCCCCACCAGTGCAGTTCCCCTGGTGCTACCAGTTCAAAGAAGCCCGGGCTAGCACGGATGAGTGCGCAGGTGGGTCCCCAACCACCGGGACACCCCTGCACACGGGTCTCCCACCAGCCGTGGCATCGGTGTCCTGCTCAGCCCCGGCGTGCTCAGCCCGGCAGGGCTCTCGCTCTCGGGGCCGG